AGGTAATGTGTCTTTCTGGAGTCTTTGATGGAGTTGAACACAAATAGCTATTGTTAAAGTTTTTCTGAGTTATGATAAAAGATAAATTATATATGAGACTTTAGACTCACAATGATAAGATAAAGTATTATAATTGTAATTTTGCTTAATACCTGTTTTATTATATGTAATTTTACTATACTAAAGTTATAACCTTCCTTTTTATTTAGACAAAAAAAGGAAGATGATGTGGGACGTCCTTCTATATATGTGTTACTTTTATTGGCTAATGAATAAAGCTATTTCAGTCAATGACTTAGCAGAGTAAAGCCAGGTGGGAAATCCAAACAGAGATATATAGAGAAAGTAGATGGAGTCAGGGAGACACCACGTAGCCTCTGAAGGAGAAAGAACCTTACTGGTACAACATAGATTAATAGAAATGGGTTAATTTAAGATATAAGAGCTAACTAGAAATATGCATGAATCTTTGGCCAAACAGTGTTGCAATTAATATAGTTTCTGTATGATGATTTGGGTCTGGCCAGCCAGGAAATGAATGAGCAGTCTCAGTTTACACATGACTTCTCCGACCTCAGTCTCTGGGACTGGAGAACCTGTCAAGGACTTGCTTTACTCAAATAAACCTGTTGTTACAATTTTTCAATTCAACTTGATCTGTCTTACTTCATTAGTGAAATAGCCTATTATGGGGGGGGGCACAGAAAACATATTACTTATCAAGAGATTCTAATAAGCTTTGATTGGACATTTTAAAATCCTATCCTGACACTAGTCAAGGAATTTCATTCCTTCCAACATCTGGGAGTTGTGCCATGTGAAGAGGTACTATTATTGTTTATTAAAAAAATTGGTGGGAAGGATGAAATAAAAGTAAAAATAAACAAAATAGAGGTTAAAATAAAACCACACAAAGATGGAAAATACACAGAGAATCTTGATACTGTATGCTATTATGCTCTCTTTGAATTGTTTGAATGCTGAGGAAGGAGCAACAACTGCTAAAAGATATTTGTTTATAGATGCTGCTGAACTAATCCAAGATAAATATTTTGAAAATACCTTGACTTCAAAATTTGGATCTAAGGTTATGATGCTTTGGAAAAGTCCTTCTTTTGTTTTCACAGAGGATGAGACCCTGTGGATTGCTTCTGTCCCAATATGGTATGATAGACCACACCCTCCTGAAAGGTTGCTGTGAACACCTTCAAAAAATTACTTCACTCAACTGCCAACTGAGATGAATCTGGTACACAGGTTACACCATGAAAGACCTGAATAACAGCGCCCCTACTCAGCACGAAGCAGTTTGGAGAGAAATAACTGCGCCCATATTCCCAAATATTGTTTATAAATGTTCTTTTACACTTAAAGGGGGATATGATATAGATATGAATAATTTGCATTGGTATGTATTTTAAGGTCAATTAATAAGATTAATATATACATTTTTAAACTTTTTGTCATGATATTAATGGTCATATAGAGTACTAAATAATTCTAGGAAAAGGCTTCATCTAGCTTCCTGTACATGATCTCAGGTTTGAGTCTCTACAGGTAACTAGGAATTAAGTTTTTGTACTCTGGATGTACATAACGAAGTATAGTCCTCTAACTTTTTTGAGATCTGCTGCATATGATATTTTAAATACTTAAGTTTTCTGCAGTGAATCATGACCAGTCCTAGCAGTGACTTTTGAAGTCCCCAAAAGGAGAATGGGGCCCCACAATGACAATTCCACTGGCTCTATGATAACACTACTAAGCTGACAAATGTGATATCACCTAAAGGTCAGCTTTAGACTACAAACTGCTCAGGACAATCCCTAGGTGGCTAGCAGAGATGATCCAGCCTCACAGACAACTTTAGCTCGGACTTGAGATCAGTCCTGAACTTTCCCATTACACAGAGACTGGACAACAAATGATACGGCTACCTCTCCCAGGACTTGACAATTAACCCAAATTTTTCTTTTCAGGATTCCCTAAAGATGCCATCATCCCCAGACAGCAGGAAGTAAATTTAAGACTATGATAACCACATTCCCAAGAGGTGGGGTGGTGGTTTTTGATCTTTCATTGGATTATGGATATTTGTCATTGTTTAGGGGTTTTGGTTACAAGTTGTTATTGGTGACAGTCAGGAAAAAAGCTGAACAAAGAAGTTTAGATTCGAGGTTCTTGTTTTGAAAAGAACAAAGAGGGATATAGATATGATAGGATATAAAGATAGATTATTGAGTCTACTCTGAAAAGAAAAAGGGGGAATATAGAAGTAGGATAAAAGGTAGATTATTGAACCTAATTTTAAACCGAAAAAAGCAACTACTAGTTTTAAATATTTTACATTATATGGATTTTTTATATTGATACAAATATAAGATTATTTTTGTTAGAACATACTGTCCATACATTTCTAATCTTATTTGAGGTATTGTATCTATACAGTTCATTTCACAATATAATGCAAATTTCTAGTCCTTAAAGGTTATTACAAACTTTTTAGGATAATAAGAAAATGCAGGTCAGTAATTAGTCATCTATTACAATTGAACTTGTAGTTATATTAGGTATTTTTCAAGGTCAAACAGAGATATATTTTAGATAGACAGGTCATCCTGAAAAATTTCAGAGATCTTCAGAATATGGCATTTAAGATGTTTTGTAAGTTATGTAGCCTCCTTTTTTTTTTTTTTAAGACAATGAGACATGTCCACTCCTAGCAGTACCAATCTACTGTGGAGAAGATGATGGTCAACAAAGAAGCTCCATATGACTCCATATGACATTTACTTTCTTTGTAGCAAAGTTAGTCACTGGGTAAGAAAATGTTCCTGCTTCAACTGCTGACAGCATGGTGTCCGAACTGAACAAGCAGGACACAGAAGAAAGGACTGCCAAACTTTCCCAAGACAAGGAAGGACAGCCTTTCAGAATATCGTGCTTCACAGAAAGGTCTGTCAGATATGCTAGGCCTGTAGGCTGAAAAGGGATGCCCCAACCTTGCAGAGGAACCTTGGGTGACTGTCCAGGCAGCCAGATTTTTCTGTCATTTCTCACATTTTTTGGAAGTCACTTGGTTGCATTTTCTGCTTACTCAGGTAGTACTATTTCCTTCTCAGGTCTCTGATAGCATTGAAGACTTTATAGTTACAGTTTTTCTTGTTACCAGATTGAGCAAAGAAATTCACTAAAGGGGTATAAAGTGTATAAGGTTGAGAGACATTAAAAGATAGTTTCGGAAACTCAAGTTAGAATAGAAAGTGAATTAGGTATAACCTTTTGGACTCACCAAGATAGGATAGATGTGGAGTGTTTTCTCTGTATTTGTCAATTGCTGATGGACTAGACATTGTTGATGTATTTATTGCCTGTATATATTGTATATAGTTATTGTACTTATTGTATACAGTATATCTTATGTTAGTTATAACCTTCCTTTTTATTTTAGACAAAAAAAGGGGGAATGTGGTGATATCGCATTTGTACTCTAATAAATAAAACTTGCTTGAAGATCCGAGGGCAGAGCTAGCCACTAGTTAACCATAGAGGTCTGGAGATCTGTACAGCCATGAGGCTGGGCAAAGAGAGGAATATAAAGCAGGAGGAGACAGGAGGTTGGCTCTTTTCAGCTGAGGAGTTAGCAAGGTAAGAGGCTTGCTCCCTTGTCTCTCTGATCTTTCAGCATTTAATCTGATATCTGAATCCAAGTTTTGATTATTAAGACCAATTATAATTCGTGAAATGGGGGCCTAACTCAGACTTAAAGAGGAAGGATTTATAAAAAATATTAAATGTGTTTAGGAGAAGGAATTAAAGCATTTTTATCTCCCCCATCTTGTAAGACTTTTATGCAAATGTTTTAATTCCTTTTATCACCCAGTAAGACCTTTCTTTACAGGAAAGCCCCTGGCTGTAACCCAGGAATGGGCTGACCAAGGATCAGTGTCCCAGTTAGTCTTCCTCCTTCATTTCCTGAGTGCTGATTTTTTTTTTTTTTTTAAAGACCAGCTATTAAATAAGACGGTGAGTTCTGACCCCAGCCAATGGGGGAAAGACACAGTCCCATCTGCTTCCTGACTGTATGTATTCCATATTCCAAGTGCACCACCCTCTTAATCAAAAGTAAACCTTGCCTTGCTCTAACCAAAAGTAAACTTTACCTTGCTCAGACCCTTCATTTGGCGTGGTCTTTTTCTTTGCCATCCATAACTTTACTTCTAACAGAATGGAGGCAGCTTCCCGCGCCAGTTTGTTGAAACAGCTCCCGTTGCCCTGCAGTTTTGTTTGTTTGGTTTGGTGTTTTTGGAGAGAGGGTTTCTCTGTGTAGCCCTGGCTGTCCTGGAACTCCCTCTGTAGATCAGACTGGTGTCGAACTCAGATCCTCCTGCCTATGTCTCCCAAGAGCTGGGGCTAAACACATGTGCCACCACGTACTGCTGCCCTGTAATTTTTAAAAGCCTACCCTTTCCATCTTTTGTTCCTCTGTGATTATTACTTAAATTCTATCCTTCCTGGTCAGGTGGCAGTGTGTTTAAAAACTGACATAATATTTTGAAGATGCTCCACACCAATAAATAGAATCCAGTCTTCTTAACTTCTATTTTATTCATTTCTTTAGAAACAGCGTCTCACTATGTATCCTTGGCTGGCTTTGAACCCACAGATATCCACAAGCCTCTGTCCCCCAAACGCTGGGGATTAAGGGCGTGTGCCACCACGCCCAGTTCAAACACAAAGTCTCTCTGAAGCAGCACAAGGCCCCAGGACCCGAGGCGCCAGAGCTGAGAAGCCAGCGTCCCTCCCTGTGCCTTGGAAGACAGAGGAGGACCAGTGTGCGGTCTCGCCGGACTGCCCAGGAGGGACCGTCGCCCGGCCAGCTGTGGCCAGCGCAGCCCGAGCGCCCGAGTGCAGGCGGGTGGCTCTCCGGGGGCGGGAGGGCAGCGGAGGACAGGCGCGCGGAGCCCGGAGCGGGCGCACGCGCACACGCACCGGCGCGCCGGGGGCCGGAAGAGCCGAGCGGCCCGGCGGCGGCGGCGGCGGCGGCGGCTGCGGGCGCCAGACGGCGCGCGGCTGCGGGAAGAGCGCGGGCTCCGGGATGGAGCCCCCGGAGAGCGCGGCGGAGCTCGAAGCCGACGCGGTGGAGCTGGGCGAGCCGGAGCTGCGACTCGCGGACCCCGCGTCCCCCGGCGAGGAGCCTGCGGACGTCGAGGCGGCGGACGCCCCCGGCCGCGGCAGGTGTTGGCCGCACGGATCCTGGGTGTGCGGCTCGTCCCGGGAGCCGGGTGAGTGCGGGGCTGACGGGGCCGGGCGGGCCGGGTTCTCCGCGCATCCGCGGTGATCGCGGACCCAGAAAGTTTCCAAGTGTTCGCAACCCCAAATTGGTGACGAGGGCAGGCCCTCGAGGTCCAGTGGTAGTCAGAGGTGAAAGGTCACCGAAAGGGACAGGCAGAGACCTGAGAGGAAACCGACCCAAAACCCTCATCATAGGGGTAAACTGATCTTCCAGAACCAAGTTGGAAAGACCGGGATTCTTTAAGTGTTTGTCCCGGAATCTCAGCATCAGGAGAGTTGAGCGGACCACTAGCCCTGAAGCGTGTTGGGATAGGAGGATTTTTAACTGTAGACTTAAAACAAGATACGCCTTGTTAGACGCCCCATGAAGAGCTCTTGACTTCTGTTCAAACTGCTGTTGCGAAGGGGTAAAGTGAGGTCGGGGAAGGATGAGGGCTTCTGGGTTGGGTCTCACCCCTACTTCCATCTGCCAAGGTCTGGGTAGGGCAGGTCCAGACAGTCCTAGGTGGGGCCGTGCATTTGCGAGAGATTCCACCTTGGGCCCTTTCCACTTCCATAGCTTTCTAGAAGGAAACCCGGAGGAGATCTTTTAGAACCGAGTTAACACCTTTCCCCATCCTAACGTGGAATGTGCCCCGGGACTCCATGCCTCTTGACTCACCGGTTTTACTGCCTTCTTCCATGTGCTTTTCTGAGTTTAGAGAGAAACGTCCTAGGAAGATGGTTGTCGCTACTTTTCTATCCTTAAACCAAAGACAAATGACCAGATTTCCGATTATGTTTGCATGGGTTTTGGCTCCAGAACAGGGTTATCCCGTACTGGGCTAACCAGATGGGCAACTCGGGACAAGGTCAGTTTCTCACCTTATCACCCTATAGCTGAATGTCATTTTGGCTTAATGTGGAACTGTACCTTGCACAAACTCTTTAGTTCCCCATTAGTGAGGGGTCTGTATACTCAGGCAGAGGCAGCAGATGGCAAAATGCCAAACCTGTGTGAATGGCCAAGAACCTTGTCTTTCAATGTCAAGGCAAGTTCTTAACAGTTATTTTTGAGGGAAAAAAAATATGTATTAGAAACCACTATACTGTTGGCATTGGACTATTGACTGGCTCATTTTAGACTCTTTATTATTATTATTATTTTTTTAAAGACAGGGTCTCCAGTTCAGGTTGGCTCACACTCGGTCCTCCTGCCTACACCTCAAGTGCTGAGATTAAGGGCATTCAACACCTCTCCTGACTTTGAGACTTGTCTAAGTGGTTTCTTAACAAAACTCACCTTCAAGTTTAGGTCGGATCTGGATAACCTTAGCGGACAGTTTACAGCTGTCCAGATAACCCGCTTGCTGTCCTCAGAACACTGCGGATCTTGTACTAAAGGGAGAGATGTCAGCTTAGCCTTGTGCCTCACCCTGCTGGAGTGAGCACTCCAGAGCATCACCGGATCTCTGAGCCCGTCTTTACAAAGTTCCAGAAGCTCTGGGGTGGGACCTGGAAATCGAAATTTTAAGTTATTCTGGTGATTCCCGGCCAGGTCCAAATCACTGGCTGAAAGCCAGGTGTGGAGAAGCCGGTGAAACAGGTTTTTACTTTCTTCGGGAAGTTGTGTGGTGACCACTTACTTTGAATAGTTAAACCTTCAATTTGACTTGTTTGGGGAGATTAGACACACTCTGTGAATGTGGAAGTTTATCACGTGAACAAATTCCTCGGTGGACTGCTGTCGCATTGTCAGAGGGAATTGAAATGACCATATAGGAGGAAACTAAGGTCAGCACACCCTTGCCTTCATTAGCAGTCAGTTCAGTTCAACTTTCTGTTACCTGCCTGTCCCTAATCAGAAAACACGAACCTTAAACATTTGTTGGTTTTTAAGCTGGCCATGGTGGCACACACCTTGGGAGGCAGTGGTGGGCGAATCTCTGAGTTGGTGGCCAACCTGATTACATAGTGAATTCCAGGATAGCCAGGGCTACATAGAGAGAGACCCTGCCTCAAAAAAGTATGTTTTTTTTTAAAAAAAAATGTTTTAAGAGAATAGATCCATTTTTAAAATTAAATTACACTCGTATGCTTCTTCGAGAGAAAGCCACTGAGTTTAGGTTGGAGAGGGTCCTTTGATTAATAAACCAGAAGGATGTTTTCTGTCCTAGGACTTCTCATTCTGTTCTGTCTAAGGGTGGAGGTTTCATTTGAGAAAACTTGTTTTATTTGGATCTGAATTTTGTAACTTCAGAAGCCCAGCTCTCAGGCTGACCACAGCCAAGGCATGTATTTTGTGGTGCTTCTGCCTGGAAGTCTTCTGAAGTTTCCTTCTTGAGGCCTGAGTGGCTCTTTGTAGTTCATTCCCACAATGTTGGAGCACAGGGGTAAAGGTGGCATGGGGGAGGGGTCCACAGTGGTTCCAGAGCAGTCTCTCCAGCTGTGAGCCTAAAATAGGGAAGATTCTGACAGTGGTGTCACTGATGCAAAGGCCAGGTACAGCGTTGCTAGAAAAGCTGTCATCATACCGTGGTCATGATTTGCAGTCCTGGGTGGACAAAGGTATCTGATGTGAGGATGTTGAAATATATTGCCCCGTATATCATTTATCAGGGAAGGGCATTTAAAAAAAGAGAACATAATTATGCAATAATGTTCCATAGCTGAGTAACACTTTGTACATTCTTAGAGTGGAGTGGCCGACCAAGTTCAAAGGAAATTGCAGCGTCCACAGGTTTTGTGTCTCCTACAGACACTTAATGGACAAGAATCAATTGTTTTCCTTATTACTCCCACTTTTTAGTGTTCATTGGGGGAGCATAGTATGTGTCTGTACAACTGAGTGTGTGTCTTGTCTTTAATGCCACACAAGATGTCAGTAATAAATTAAACAATTGAAGACCTGCAGAAAGTACAAACTTCTTGGTTCAGATTAAGGCAGGAACAAGTTAAGACGGGGCAAAATTAGCAGCTCACAGTTACACAACAGCCGAGCCTTTCTAGTTTAGTCTTCTTGCCAGTAATGTTAGACGCTTGTGTCTTTCTGTGGTGTTCATGTATATTTTCCTTTACTTACTCAGGTTGAGTGTCCCAGGCACAGACAAGAGAGCAGAGGTCCCAGCCCTGGATAAGCTCATAGGCGTCTAGAAGTCAGATTATCAACACATGGAGAGATAAGCAGTTGTAAACTGAATTCCAGCAAAGAAACTTTCTCCTGGAAGCTCAGCGGGGAGAGGATGGAAGGCCTGTCTCTGAGCTGGACTTTTCACTTCCCTTTGACTAGTGTTCCTTAAAGATCCCTCTCACCGCCTCAGCAAGATGTCCTTGACTTGTAAAGTGAGGGGTGATTCTTAGCAGGCCGAAAGGAATCCATCTTTTGTTGGGAGAAATGACTTTTTATTTTTTTTAACAGTGTAGTTTTAATTTGTTACCCACAGCTATGGATTTTTCATAATGCGTAGGGAAGGTGGTACAAGAGCAGGGATGCTAAGGTCTTCCATTAGCATCTAGCCGTTGGTTGACACTCTAAGTGAATGTGATGAAACGTGCCTGGGAGCAAGGACTAACCAGAATTTAATCTTTTTCAGAAGGCAAGAAGAAAGCACCCTGCCCTGGACTTGGCTTGTTTTACACAGTGTTGTCCGCCTTCCTTTTCTCAGTGGCCTCTATATTTGTTAAAAAAGTGCAAGACGTCCATGCTGTAGAGATCAGTGCATTTCGATGTGTGTTCCAATTGCTAGTTATTGTTCCTTGCTTAATATACAGAAAGTAAGTATGTGTAGAGTGAAGCAGAGGATGTTAACGACTGTGTAAATCTTTTGAACTGTCTTAGTATTTTTTCTGTAGTAACTGGTTCATCATGGATTGACCAGTCGGTTCCCCTTCACCCTGACTAATGACGGGTTCTCAGGATCTACTCACAGACGATTCTACCATAAGCACATACCACGTGCCCATCAAAGGAGAAGGGTGACTTGTACTTGTTCACCCTCTCTCTATTTTTGAAAACAAAATTCTGGGTGTACCACCCTCCTTCCTTTACTTTGGCATAACTGGTGTTTTGGAGATTAAAAAGTAAATGCTAGGAGTTATATAGCATCAGGGTTCTCTCAGTGGGACAGACCGCCCTGCCAGGTCATGCCAGTAAGATGGCAGTCTTAAAGGGAGTGGCAGGTAAGGCCTTGAGCAAGATCTTGGGCTACTTTGGTATTCAGATTCTTTCCCTACAAACTGGAGGGAGTGATGCTCTCGGGGCTGTGCTCAGAGCGGGTTGCAAGGGTCAGATAAGAGTTATTCTTGGTTAGAGTACTTTCTAGAGACTTCAGCATATAGGTACTATTTACATCCCTTCTCTACTCTCCCTCCTTACTTGATCCCCTTTCTTCTGTGTAGACTCTGTCCGTCTCAGTAGGGCTGAAAATTATAGCCCCCCCTCCCCCCATAACTTACACATACCTTTATGTTCTCTGGACCCTGGGAGGAGACTAATTGGGCCCTGAGTGGCTACCTGGCTGTTTGTTTGGGAGCTGAAGATGCTTAAACCTCAAGTCAAGTTTCCATCGCCTGCCTCCAGTGCCTCCTTGCATCCATGCCATGATACAGATTCATTTAGAATAGTGCCATTCTGTATCCTGAGAAACTGCTTAGAAAGTGAAATTCTGCGAATGTATAAGCCAGAGTGCTACCAGAAATAATGATGAGCTAGAGCCACTTTCTAAAGGAGGTAACAACACTGAGGTTAGCAACCATATTCTCCAGTTTTTGATAAAAGTATTCAGAGCTAGAAAGTGTTTTGAAAATCTTTGGCCCTAATCTGTTTTAATTTTGTGTTCATGATCATGGAACATATATAGCTTTTCTACACATGTATGGGCCCCAGATTTGTTCTGACTCTAGATACATAGATGTTCATGTTTACCTGGATGAAGCCTGCTCTAGCATGAGTCAGGAAGTTGTATCTAGCTAGGAACTATCAGAGTAGATTCTGAGTGTTTAATTGGAGACAATATAGCACTCATTTTATGGATCAAACCATGGCTTTTTTTTTTTTCAGTGTTTTTTAACTCATAAGGACAGCGAAAAGTTGCCTCATATTCAGTGACTACATTCTAGCCTTGCTCAGCTTTTATAGAAGAATTGATGTGGCTGAGTGTGCATGATCCAGGATTAAGCTTCCTCATGTAGTACTACAAAATCCTGAAATTATGTTTATTATAAAGCAATCATAGAAAATTTGGATTATATTATGTGATTCTACTACTAGGGTATAATGTCTCTTAACATTTTACCCTTTTAATCTTTATTTTTTGCTAGAATATACATGAGAAAACAATTGTATTTGCTGACTTTTATCATGCTGTTTATGAGGTTCTATGTTCGCTTTTTGCTCCTGCAAACATGAACATTTTGAGCCATCATTTCTCTAACTAGAAAAATATTTTAAAGGATTCTTACTATTCAATACTAGGTAGAATTTACTATTACTCCCTTATTTTTAGTAAAATGTACTTTTCCAATAATGTCTGATTAAACATTTTGATCTAAAAACAATGCCAAGTTCATTTAAAATGCATTTTTTTCATTTAAATTTGCAGAACTGGGTTCATAGGACCCAAAGGTCAGCGGCTTTTCCTTCTTCTCAGAGGGATCTTTGGTTCCAGTGCCATGATCCTAATGTACTATGCTTTCCAGACAACGTCCCTCGCAGACGCCACAGTTATTGCGTTTAGTTGTCCAATGTTTACGTCAATATTTGCGTGGATATTTCTCAAGGAAAAGTATAGCCTTTGGGATGCTTTCTTCACGTTGTTCGCATTCGCCGGAGTGATCCTTATCGTCAGACCGCCATTTTTATTTGGCTCCGACACTTCAGAGACGAGCAACAGCTATTCAGATCACATTAAGGGGACGTTTGCCGCAATTGGACATGCCGTGCTGTCTGCAATGACTCTGGTTATCTTAAGAAAAATGGGGAAATCCGTGGACTACTTCCTGAGCATTTGGTATTATGTCATCCTTGGCCTTCTTGAATGCATCGTCATCCTCTTTGCCATAGGAGGGTGGAGTCTCCCTTACTGTGGGCTGGACAGGCTGTTTCTCATACTCATTGGACTCCTAGGTTTGGGGGGTCAGATATTTATCACTAAAGCAGTGCAAGTAGAAAAAGCAGGACCCGTAGCAATAATGAAGACAATGGACGTAGTTTTTGCTTTTATCTTCCAGATTGCTTTCTTTAATAATATGCCAACCTGGTGGACAGTGGGTGGGGCTCTCTGTGTAGTAGCCAGTACTACTGGATCAACCATACGTAGATGGATCCAAAGTTCCAAATGAAATGTCACTGTTGAAATCTATATTTTTTTAAATATGCCATCACCCAGCTCGGACATCTTACATACCTGAAAAATCTGCATTATTCGTTGATTATATTTAATAAATTTCATAAATAAAGTACCATTTTTTAAAAATATGATATTTTTTAAATTAAGAGTAGCTAGTCTAGCCTAGCAGTTTTTGGATAGCTTTTATTTTTTGCTTTGGTTTCTTGAGGTTGGGGTGTCATTGAAAAGATAGCTTATTGAGGAATTTTAGAAATTTTTATGAATACAATTTTAAAACTTTATTTTTGACACAGATAAGCTATGGATGGGAAATACTCTATTTTAGCAGTGTAGATAAGAAGCTTACTGTTGACAGTGCTGCTTTAATTAGTTCTGTGTTAATCCTTTGTTTGCAGTGTAATTCCATTTAGGATGCCAAAGCCAAAACCTGGTACAGGTGCCTACTTACTGATAGGACTATAAGTAAACCAGCCTTAGTTTTACAATGATTATTACACTTTTAACTTTCGTTTGTGCCTTTTGTTTTGATGCCAGGATTTTTATATCTACTCTCTGAACGGAGCCTTTCGCTCACCACATGTGGTTAGCAGTTCTCTCTTTTGGTATATTAGTAACTCTGGCTACCATTTTGAATTTTTTATTGTCTCCTGTGTCATTGAAATTGCACTATTTCTTAAAACATTCCAAGATTGCCAATCTTAAAATCCCGAGAGAGAAATCTTGGTGTGACCAGTGTGCACATTCCCATCCTGAGGTGTTTACATGTGATGGTTCTCTACATGCAATCTTTGAATTCATAGTATGATGCCAAATACAGTTTTCTCAGGATTGTTCTGGGTTGGGCCATATCAAATTGCCCAGATTGTACCATTTTCATTTATGAAAATCATAGTTCTAAAAGGTGCATCTGAAAAGCCCCTTTAAAGTACAGGTCTGTTATTATTAAACTTACTCCTGTAGTCTTCTTCCATTTTGGAATGATATTTTATAATGCTTGTGATATACAAAAAAAGATAAATACCTATTAGTCCACAGTTGATTGACTTTCACAGTTTCTTGCATATATAAAAATAATCACAGGTAATTAGATTGACAAGCTGTACCATGATACTAGTGTGAACTCAAGATAGTAGATTCTAAATGTGGAGCATTAGCAGATTGGTACTCTCCTGTGAAAGAGGAAAGCTTGGGAGATCGGTCAGGGTGTTGGGAATACATGGCCATGAGTCTTTGTCACTTTGGATGCCTTTATGGTAAGCCATCGTGGCGGCCACGTCTTGCTCTACCAGACACCTTCTGCTATTACCTTCAGCTGCAGAATTGAGGGGCTGTGTGTTCTAGGCCGGTCTCCTCCCCACAGCTCTTCCAAAGGCATCGTTCCAAAGAGGAACTTTAACTTTGATGGTTTTAAATACTTTCCATCTGACATCCTAGAATATATTTATTTAGCTGAGTCATCTCAATCACACTTGACCTGACTCATACTCTTGGAACGCAGATTTGCAGCCCTGCCATGCCAGCAGCTCAGAAAACATAGCCGGCAGCCTTTTAGAGCTAGAGCTACCTTATAGACCATCCCACGGGAGCCATGCTCCGTACACAAGGATGACAGGATGGAGACCCGCGGTAGCTGGGTTTCCATGGCCGCCTCTTCTCACTTAGTTCCACGTATGGAAGGTCAGACATTCCTGGAGCCATTGACTAACTTACACAGTAGAAGAAAGAATCGCTGGGATTGTGGAAGATAAACCCATTTGAAAACATGCTTTATTTCAACTGAATCTTAAGTACTTGAATGTCACAGTATGTGGCTGACATTGGAGACAATGTTTCTTATCCCAACCTTTACAGGGTATGATTTTTAAACAATGTTCAAGAGGTATACAAGGTTATGTATTGTAACAGCTATGGGGGGGGGGTATGTATTTTCCAAAGATTGTAGTTTCTATATCTTGCAAAGGAAAATATTTTTCCTAACTTGTTTTTATTTTGTAAGTAATAAAATTATAAAAAAAGTGATATGTTGGTTTTTATGACTGTAGAAAAATGTCTCATTACTCATTTCTTGACCACCGGGTGCTTCAAATTTTATTTTCTATACGAGGCTGGCTTCTATCCATTTAGCAGGGCCGTGATCTTACAGTTTCTAACTATATCTGTTCCTCATACTGAGTAAATGCAACAGCTCCAAAATCAAGAGTGATCTGGCCCACTGAAGTAACTAAGCAGGCTCACATGGATGGGCTCACAGAGAATAAAGCCGCAAGCACAGGACCTGCATGGATCTGCACCAGGTCCTCGGCATATGTTGTGGGTGATAGCCTGATCTTTTTGTGGGACCCCTAACAGTGTGAGTGGGTGAATCTCTGTCCCTCTTGCCTGCTCTTGGGGTTCTGTTCCTCCTACTGGGTTGCCTTGTCCACCCTCATATGAGGGCTTTTGCCTTGTCTTTTTGTGTCTTGTCTTGTCCTATTTGACTGTCTCTTGGAGGCCTGTGCTTTTCTGAAGAGGAAGTGGAGGGGCAGTGGATCTTGGGGAGAGGGGACGTAGGGTACCGGTAACTGGGAGGAGTGGAGGTAGGGGAAACTGTGGTTGGGATGTATTATATGAGAGAAGAATCTATTTTCAATTAAAAATTTTATAAAAGAGATAGTAATTGGTTTTTCTAGACCCTCAGAACTTAGCAGCTTGGAGCTTTAGATAGACTACTAGTCCTGTGGTGCCCTCTTGCTGTGCTGGGAATTCATTCTGCTCTCACCACGCCCACCTGCACCCACTTAAGACTTTGACCTTGATCCAGGAGTCAAGGCAGGCCAGCCTTCCCGAGGCCCTGCTGTTATCTCTCCAGTTCTTAGAAAGCCGCTGTGGTGACCTGTGGTTCACACTGTCAAGCCCATCTGGCCCGCCCCCTCTCCGTTCTGCTTTCCCATATCCCAGCACAAGATACGTGGGTCCATCTTTCTATTAACTCAAATTTGCCACAAGTATCCTTTCCCCTGCTTTCCTTATAATCTTTTTTTTTTATTGTGTGATCTAGGGTCACACTTTTATTTATTTATTTATTTATTTATTTATTTATTTATTTATTTATTTATTAAAGATTTCTGTCTCTTCCCCACCGCCGCCTCCCCTTTCCCTCCCCCTCCCCCAATCAAGTCCCCCTCCCTCGTCAGCCCAAAGAGCAATCAGGGTTCCCTGCCCTGTGGGAAGTCCAAGGACCACCCACCTCCATCCAGGTCTAGTAAGGTGAGCATCCAAACTGCCTAGGCTCCCACAAAGCCAGTTCGTGCAGTAGGATTAAAACCCCATTGTTCTTGAGTTCTCAGTAGTCCTCATTGTCCACTATGTTCAGCGAGACCGGTTTTAACCCAGGCTTTTTCAGACCCAGACCCGCTGGCCTTTCCTTATAATCTTAACGTGTCCTCAGAGTTTGCTTAGCCTCAATGGGTGAGCTGGGACTTCTGATTATTCCACTGCCTGCGGCGAATCACCCTCTTTAATCCCTTTGGAGAAGGGGACAAAGTACTGGGTTGGGCATCTGAGGCTGGGTGTAGTTTTGTTACTTTGCAGCGAGACAAGCAGTGTACTTGGGCTTTCTTCATTTGGTAAACAGAATATTATTATCCAAATCCTTCTAGCTGGTGAGTGGCGTAGACCGTAGGCCAGACAAGAAGCACAAGAGCCTACGTGTTGAGCTGTGGTTAAGACTTATTTATTTACTCTTTAAAACGGAGCCTCCTCCGGGCCCTTCCTGCTAAGCAGAAGGAGTGCAGGTACAAATGCCTCAGAATGCAAACTTCCGTCAGCCTCTTGTAAGCACAGACTTGAGTGGATGGGCACCTTTTCTGTTGAGACAGAGCTGCCCACAGAGGGCTGCTGAGGGTCACTGCTTCCCTTACCTTGTGCATAGGTGTGACCGATTCCCCAGCTGGCGTTAGTGCTTGTCCCCAGGGAGAATGATGTTTGACTCTGATTTGGGAAATTGGCCCAACCCTCCTTGTGCCTCCTTTGTACTGAGCATGACTCTTCAAGCTGCCTTCCTCATCCACTAACAATGACAAGTCTTAGAGTGGCAAGAGAGCTAGTTTCCCCCACACCACCGTGTGCAGAGTCACAGCCAGTGGTGGTATTCGAACTGGTTTATTATGGTATCATTTGGACCCCCAAGCATGATTTTTTTGGTCCTTTCGGTGTTCTGTATCACATCTACTAAAGCCACCATACTTACCCAAAATTCTAAAGGATGCCTGTGTCTCCCTGCGACACCCAAAGAAGCACTCACTTAGGTTATAGCCTATTTGAAACTTGGACTTGGAAAACCTCACAGAGAGCCCATAATATGTGATTCTCCCTTTTATCTAGAAATTGGGGGTAAGGGTTATAGCACGAGGTAAAAGAGCAGGTGCCTGTGATAGCAAGACTGGACAGGTAGCAAGGCAGCCTGCGCCACAAGGACAGAGGTGCCGGGTTCCGGGAAGGCCACCGCTAGAGGAAAGCCTGAAGCTTCCAACTTCATGACTCATAACCACTCACAGTCCTAACATGCACGTGTAGCCATAAAACACAGGAACTAGCCCATATTTGTGATGAGTTCCCAGGCTGGGGGTCAAGAAAATATAGAACCGCATTTGAGGTAGGAGAAAATGTGTTGAGGTGATCAAAGTACCAAGCCAAGGTCAGGTTTGCAAACTGCAAACCTGCAAACTGCAAAACTGCAAACTCAGGGCCAGGGAGAACACGTGAGCCCAGAGCCTGTTCCTGATACTGTAAGTGCCCAGCTGTTCTCATAGGTGTTCAAAGCATCCCAAGCCCAAACAGCACGTGCCAAAACACACCAGAGGGGTAGAAACTGAGGACCTTATTATTTGGGGTTCTTTATGATGACACCAGGTGTTACCATGTTAATATCAGAATCAAATTCAAAGCATGAAGCTTATTCAGACCCCCCTTTCTAATTCAGTCTAACCATTTCTTTCATGTGATGCTCCCCTGGAAACCCAGTTCACTGCTGTGAGGAAGCCAGGGCCACATAGAGACCCACATGAAGAGGAGTCTCCACCCCTCTGCACCCAGCTGACAGCTCACACTGCCCTGCCAGACGGAGTGCCCGCTGGGAATGGATCCTCCAGCCCTCAGGTAGGCTACCCCAACTAACACCATGGACAGGACACACAAACATAGCCCTCTGCTGGGTTCTCAAATTGAAAGTTTATGAGAATAAAAAAAATTGTTGTTTTAAATTACTAAAAAATAAAGATAGAAAACATGTTTGCGCTTGCATGTACCCACTTAAACATGCTTATAATTGTATATAGTAAAACACGTCAGTGTAAAAAAACAAGATCATGAAGAAGGAGAAGTAAGTTGTCAGAAGTTACATATGTAGGGATAAGAATAATAAAGTCATCTAAACCAGTCTTCTCCAGTGCCCGAATAATGCCAATATTTAATAATGACACTGAGAATGGTGGTGTATGTCACACTCTTTCGTGGGCATACAGTTGAGTTTTCTAGAAGTTACAAGATGACAAAAACAAGCAGATGGAAGAAGCTAGCTCTCATCTAAACTAATTAATCTAAGTCTGTTAAGCTAAACTTGTAACTTGTGTATTCTTGTGAAATGGCGTCAGTTTCATTTGGGGGAAAAATATTTTTTATGTATTTGACAATTTCATGCTTATAGATGGTGTGTTTTAATTATACCCACCCTTACTACCCTCTCATCCCCATTCCACTCTTTCTGAATGGAAAATACCTTAATAAAATATTGCAATTGACAAGAAACAGAGTTTGCTCGTGTGTTTGCCGACCCGAGGAGTCATCCTAGGCTCTCACACATGGTATTCAGGTGCTCTACAACCGAGCCATATCCCTAGCCCTGCCGTGGAGCTATTTTTAAAATATTGGTTTTCTTTTAAATATGAACCTGTATACACAGAAGCTCTTTGGCATCTTCAATATTGTTTAAAAAATGTATTCCACTTATTTTATTTACTACTGTTATTGTTATATTTTACAAACAGTGGATTTGCCGCAACATGATCTGACCATGTTTGAGAGTAGAGGGGACAAGGACAGGATGTGTGAGAGCAATGCATGTCATAGACGTGCTGGGGCTGAGGGTGCAGCTCAGCGACAGAGCTCTGGCCTGGCCTGTGTGAGGCCCTCAGCCCGATCTTCAGCATCCAAAACAGGGATTTATCAAGTTTGAACTCAAGAAAAAGCATGGAACGCAGAGACATAACAGTGTCTGTACTAGACACATCTTCACAGATTTTGCCTTAGGACGGTGAACTTAAACAAGTCTCAGTCTGCCAAAGTGCTCAGTTATCCATCGAAAGGGAGTGAAAGGTGGGCAGCAAAAAGTCCATCTGTCAGTGGCCACTTGGTCACATAGAAACTTCTTTAGAGACTCCACATTTTGTGCCTTGGGTCTTTCCGTTGTGAAGTGTAGACACTGAGGACACGAGGACACTTTGCAGACTGTACACACAGGCACAACTGTGACACCAACTGGCAGCATTTATCAGATTTACAAATGCACATGCTGCACCCCTTCCCCTGTGCTCCACTCGAGGAATTTATCTGCAGTGTAGCTGCTTCTGTGTAAGATGGCATACACAAGATTATTCACCGTGGCTTTATTTGTAATAGCAAAAACTTGAGCAAGCATGGCGTTCTCCATTGGGTGCTGGCTAGATAAGGCATGGCACATATGGAAGGTAACTAACACACAATTTAACATATATCAAGACCAAGGAAGCTTTCATCCATGGTTGTGAAGTCTCCAAATTGCTAAGTGGAAAAAGAAACCAAACAAACAAGGTGAAGAGCAGAGTGTGTACAAAGAAAAGGGACAGTTTCAGGAGGACACAGAAGGTGATGACATTGACGGTCATTGGGACATGGGGCCTGGTGACTGAAGGGTGGAATAAGGAGGCTTTTCACTGACTCCCTTGTATATTTTGCATTTTGAATTATGTCAAAAATAAAATTGGTGAAATAAAAACTAAAAGATT